GGTTCTGAAAACTCTGTGGAGCTGAAAGGTCACGAAGTTTGACAGCTGAGTGTCTGTCTCCACGTTTCGCCATTACCATCAGCACAAATTTGCCAATTTCAGCAAAATGTGCCAATTTATTGTTAAGCCATTCCTATGTGCTGCCGCCTTGGATAGTTATCCAAGGCTGCAGCACCTGCACAGCCAGCCTAATACACTCGGGTTAGATTCAAATTTGTTCATCGTTGTTTTGCCACCAAATGTATCGCCACCCCGAAGCCAAAGTGTATAATCAAGGGAGGGCTTTCTTATTGTTGTTGCTTTACTGTAGTAACAGTAAATTGACACACAGCGTTTGTCGGCTTTTGCTTGGGAGTTGTGCAATACCCAAGTTAATATCAGCACAAGTTTCGGGTAAATTGCACAAGATTGGCGCTCTGGAACGCACTTTTCTGATTGTAAAATCGATGTGTTGGCGCCGATATAAGTCCATGTATCCGCGATGCCTTCATGAGATGTTGCTAAAGTTGGCAATATTCGTCACAATCTGTAGTCCACTGTCTTCCAATAACCCAGGTGTGGTACGGAACACGTAGAAGAAGGAGTTGGAAGAGTGAAGTGCTATGAATTGGCAAAGTTATACTATCCAATTCTGCGAATGGAGCTAAGAAGTCAAAGCACCATGTGGGGAGAGTCGCTGGTAATCTTTGAAAGGTCCAATGCCAAGGTCGTCAACCTTGACATGCATCATACTACTGTAGCATAGATCTTTGGCCCAAGTGGCATTCGGAGCGCTCGACATCGGCCAACTTGAGGATTGCGGTGAGAAGCGGACAAGATCCTGACCATGCATTGGCTCCATCCTTTCGTCGCCAACACATTGTCACACCGTGGTCTGAATTTTTTCCTCCTGGTGCACTCTTGTTTCCGACGTTAGCCAATTGTTGGTGTGAGTTACACACTTGGTGTTTAATGTTGGGCCATTCTGGTTGTGTTTGTACGTGATTCCGAGGTTGCGGTACACTCGACCTAGTCATGGCCCTCGTTGCTGTGCAGCTCACACGAGCCATGGCAAGCGCGTGAAACTGATGTGGCTTATCCTGGACCGTCTTGGGCTGTAGCAGCCAACGATTCGTTCTGGCGCAACGCTTTTGGCGTCGATGACATTCGTTGCCCTTCATTCGGAATTCCCCCAATCAGTATTGCCGTAGCAGGTGAATGACACGATGACCTGGCGCAGTTTGCAGTTGGGACGATGGCACGGAGAGGTGCGAATGGCGCCGACGGCGACGGCTACGTCCGCCTGCACTCCCCGACGACGGTGGATCGTACGTCTAAAGATGCACCTGCAGAGACTCCGTGGCGTGATTTGCCCAACCCGATGGGGACGGCCAACTGGTTGAGCACATTCGTCATTTTTTGGATGGAATCGATCATGCGCCGCGGTGCAATCCAGACCCTGATGGAGGACGACGTGTGGAAGCTATGCCCTGAAGATACGTCTGCAGCACTCCACGAGCGCTTTGACCAGTTCTGGCAGCAAGAGAAGCTGCTGCCCAAGCCGAGTTTCGCCAAAGCCATGATGCGAACCATGCGTTCCCAATGGACGTTCAACGTTGCATTGTACGCGCTGTACGCGGCGCTCATGCTTGTCCAACCCACCATCATCAAATCACTTCTTCAGTTCCTCAAGACGGACGAGGACAAGGTTGCCGACACAGCGCTCGGAATCTCGTCCGGGTACGCCCTCGCGGCGGTGCTCACAATTCACTCGTTCTTTTCCGTTACGATCATCGACTTCGGCCAGTACGTGTCATCCAACTTAGGCGTGAATGCAAAATCGATTGTGATGGACTCGGTCTACCTCAAGTCGCTCAAGCTGTCTGGTTTCGCCAAGCGGAGCATGTCGTCGGGCGAGATCGTCACGATGTCGTCTGTCGACTCGGAACGCTTGTTCCAAGGGTTCCTACTTGGTCCTTGGGTTCTAGTGGCACCTGTGACTGTGCTGGCCATCTTTATCATGATCGGATTTGACCTGGGCGCGGTGGCCGGCGCAGTCGGGGGCGTCGTCATGGCTGTCCTGCTCTACACGGGGTACACTACGTCGACGGCGGTGGGAGCCGTGCGCCGCGAGATACTCACCGTGCAGTCAGAGCGCGTGAAACTCACCAACGAAATCCTCCAAGGCGTGCGTGTTGTCAAGTTGTATGCATGGGAAGACCCTCTGGAGGCCCGCATCGAGGCGATTCGAAACCAAGAGCTCCTCCTCCTCAAAAAGTACCAGTACGTGCGGGTCCTCAATACGGTCACGCTCTCCATCGCGCCAATTCTGTCGCTCGTGCTGTGTTTGGCCGTGTTTGTTGCGCAGGGCAACGAACTCAAGCCAGCTATCGCATTCACTGCTCTCGCCTACATGAACGTGGCTCGCTTACCATGCACAGTCTTCTCCAGTTCGATCATGTTCGCGTCCGAGGCATTCGCATCATGCGCTCGCGTGGGAAAGTTCCTCTTGGCTGACGAAATCGCAGACGTCCCCCAACTCTCAAACGGTCCGGCTGATTCGGCCGTGGTCGAGCTGACCAACGGCAATTTCAGCTGGAACGTCGATCCGTCGGCCACAGGAGACAACAAGTCCACGACACCATCGATGACCTTAAAGGACATCACGTTGACGCTTGTCCCGAAGACCCTGACCATCGTGGTCGGTCCCGTCGGCAGCGGTAAGTCCAGCCTCGTCAGCGCCATCTTGGGCGAAATCCACCAAGTCAGCGGCACCCGCACCGTCGCCGGACGCGTCGCGTACGCCAATCAAGAAGCGTGGATCCAGCACGCCACACTCCAAAACAACATCCTGTTCACCGCCGACATGCACGCCGACAAGTACGACCGAGTGCTGTCGGCATGCCAGCTCAAGCCGGACCTGGCCATGCTGCCGGACGGCGACCAGACCGAGATCGGCGAGCGAGGCATCAATTTGAGCGGCGGCCAGAAGGCCCGCGTGAGTCTGGCCCGAGCCATGTACCGGTCGGACGCCGCCGACCTCATCCTGCTGGACGACCCGTTGAGTGCGCTGGACGTCCACGTGGCCGGCGCGGTGTTCCGGGAGTGCGTGCAAGGGATGCTGCAGGACAAGACGGTCGTGCTGGTGTTGAACAGCCACTACCACTTCCTCCCCCTCGCGGATCGCGTGGTCGTGATGGAGGACGGCGCGATCGTTGGCGACGGCTCGTTCGACTCCATCAAGGACGCCTTTCCCCACTTGATCAGCTTCTCCGACGGGGCGCAGCATGACTCGACTGATACTGAGATCGCCACGATATCCGTACTAGCGGCCGCTTCCAAGGAAGAAAAGGCCAAAGACAGTGACGCCAAGGGTGACGGCGCTTTGGTCCAGAAGGAAGACCGCAAGATGGGCGGTGTGTCCTCAAGCTTGTACTTGACGTATCTGCGGTCGACGGGGTGGAACGGAGCGTTCGTGGCCGCAACCATCGTCGTCGCGTTCACGGTGTCTCAAACGGCGGTCGTCATGACGGACTGGTTCATGGGGTATTGGTCTAGCCACCCTGGCAGCAACGTGACGTCGGTCGTGCTCTACGTGGTGCTGGCCCTGGTGTCGATGGCGCTCGTGTGGGGTCGCAGTGTGTACGTCCTGTTTTTGAGTGTCCTGTGCTCCAAGGCCCTCCACGAGAAGCTCTTTCGAAAGGTCATACACGCCCCGGTCACCACCTTCTTCGACGTGACCCCCGTTGGCCGCATCCTGAATCGGTTCTCGAGCGACTTGGACCAAGTCGACAGCATCCTTCCGTTCTTCGGCGTGCTTTTCCTTCAGTTTGGCTTTCAAATCGCTGCCGTCGTCGTTGTCTGCGCCGCCACGTCCCCGTTCATCTTGATCGTGTACGTGCCGCTGGTGTATCTGTTCCATAAGGTGCAAGTGTACTTTTTGCTGACGTCGTCCGAGCTCAAGCGCCTCGAGAGCATCTCGCGAACGCCCGTGATCAACCTCATTTCGGAGACCATCAACGGCCTCTCGACCATTCGCGCGTTCGGCATGACGGGGGCCTTCGCGACCAAGAGCCGCGACATTCTCGACCACAACCAGAGCTACTTTATGATCTACCGCATTTCGTCGAGGTGGCTGCAGATGCGCCTCGACTGGCTCTCGGCCGCCATCCTCGCCGGCGTCTCCTTCATCACGGTGGCGTCCAGGACTACGATCGGACTTACTGCCGCTGGGCTCGCCCTCACCTACGCCGCCCAGATGTCGTCGTTCTT